GCGCAGCTCGTGTCCATGGTCTGCGATGCCCGCGTCGCCATCATCGACGTTAGGTAAGCACTGATCCATGCCCCATCTCCGCACACCAGGGAGCACGAGCGAGAGGCGAACGGGGGCAGTTGTTTCGGGTCTCTGCATGGAAAATACAAGGTTGCGACTTGCACACTCCATAACTTTAAAATAGGAGAACACTTCAGGTTTGTAACAAAGACCTTTTTCTTTGCAAATAGACAAATAGCGATTCCATAACTATTAAATCATGTTTAGTTTTGTTCTCAATGTAGAACTAACCAAATGCAATGTAGAACTAACCAAATGCAATGCATGAAGGAACTAATCAAGTATCATGTTGGTGATTCCTCTTATGTTTGATCGTACAAATGCGCCATATGGACTAACGAAGACTGAGATATACCAGAGTTGTGCTTTCCCTTTTCCCGGGAAGCATGTTTGTGTTTTTCCCTATGAAAGCAGAAGGAAAGTTGTGCTTTATTCCTTTTTTCAAGAAGCATAGTTGTGTTTTTTCCCTTTTGGGAGGAACATTTGTGCTTCTCGTGCAAGCACATAAGTAGAATTGTGTTTTTCCATTTTGGGAAGCAGAGTTGTGCTTCTTGTAAAGTTGTCTCATGAAAAAGTAATGCTTCCTAAAAAAACATTTTTCCCCACAAAACCTAGGGAAAACTGGGAAGCAAAAAAAAAAAAACCCAAAAACACACAGAAATAAAAAAAATTCCCAAGGATGTGCCAGCACACGACACATGGTGATGCCTGGGTGCACCACTTGGCCCAAGTTCAGTGTGGTACTCCCTCCATTCCAAAATGTAGTGCGTTCGCGCTTCCCAAGGTCTAACCTTGACCATAAATTTAACCAAGAGGCCCACTGCGGTGGCAGAAAAAAATTATATAATTGAAAACTTCTTTTGAATACGAATTCACTGGTTTAACTTTTGCTCCCACCGCAATCGGTCTCGTTAGTTAAATTTATGGTCAAAGTTGAAGCACAAAGATAGAGGAAGCATATCTTGGAATGGAGGGAGTATGTGGTATATGTGAACATTACTATAACGAGCTCGAATCCAAGACTGGCTTGACTCGTATAACTCACGAGCTGGCTCGTTTAGCTTGTTAAGCTTGTTAATGATATGAACATAAAAGCTTGTGAATATGATAAAAATGATTACTTGGGAATGTAAAATATACATATTAAACATGTACAATGTTTACAATCAATTGTAGGCATGTCTTAAATTACAATTGTCAGTACATACCATCAAGTCAGTACCATGTACATCCATTGACCACAAACAATTGTACATGACCACAAACAATTGTACATGATCAACAAGTTAGTAACATATGCATGGCCAAACAATTGTAATTTCCTTGAACGTCTAGGTGTTGTGTTGTGCGCCTGGGACGCAGGGTGCCTTGCTGACAGTGGCGGAGCTTAGTGGAGATCAAGCTGGGCCATCGCCCCCCCTACCCAGGAGATGTGTTCATATTATCATAAGTAATTGCAAATAGATTCATAGAAATCTAGCCTAAACCTGATGTTAGTTGCCCCCCCCCCCCAGCC